TCACCACCGCCACCACCACCACCACCGCCACCATCACCGCCACCGCCGCCACCACCACCACCACCACCACCACCACCACCACCACCACCACCACCACCACCACCACCATCACCATCACCATCATCATCACCACCCTAACCATCCGTCATCATCATCATCACCATCACCATCAAAATCATCGTCGCCGTCGTACTTGTCACCATATTCATCATTAGCGCTGTGATGACGTCATCGTGGTCATCATCGCAGCTTGCCTTCGTGGCCTTCGCAGTCAGGACATCACTGCACCAAGTTTTTCTTTCAAACCGACATTGCCCGCACGCGCATTGTGGTTTGACAAGAGAGTCATGCCCCTAAACCGTAAACCCGAAACCTTAAACCCTAAGCACTAAACCTTAAACCCTAAACCTTAAACCCTAAAGAGTAAACCGAAACCTTAAGCCCCAAACCCTAAACCTTAAACCCTAAACCCTAAACCTTAAACCCTAAACCCTAAGCCCTAAGCCCGAAACCCTAATACCTGGGGTCGGCAGATCTGCGCAGGTCAGCCACTAGGGCCTCCAATGACCACCTTCCCGCTTCAGGCCCCGCTGACACTTCAAGGTACCCTTGGGGGGTTTTAGGGTTTAGGTTAATGTTAGGGTTTATAGGGTTTAGGGTTATGTTAGTGTTGGGGTTTAGGGTTTAGTTTAGGGTTTAGGGTTATGTTAGGGTTTAGGGTTTAGGGTCATGTTAGGGTTTAGGGTTTAGGGTTTAGAGTTTCGGCCTTATAATGGTTTGGATTGGCTATCTCTTGGGCTGGAGTAGGAGACGAGACTTGGATGGATGCACAGGTTACAAGTCATCGAATACTAAGGGACTTGCCTCCTCTGCCTTTTCTGTCTGACTGCTCGTATCTCTTTACCAACAGGTGAGAATGGGAACAGAGTATGCGTAGACATGTGGGCAGGAACTGACGCGTGTATGCATGTGTGTACATATATATATATATATATACACACCCACACACATACACACACACGCACACACACACACACACACGTACATGCGCTTACGTGCGTGCGGACCAAAATATGCACGAAATGCACGTACATACACTGGCACTTGCAATTCATCAGCATGCTGGAAACGTAAGCTTTGAGGCCTAAGCTTTGCCACGCAGATCCACGGCACAGGCAGGTGAGATCTGCTTCTACAAGAGCTCCGCTCATGGCTGGATTCCTGCGAAGGTGCCAAAAGCCAGCGAGCTTCCTTCAGGAACTGTCTGGAGTCGGGAGTCTCTGAGCGTCTATAGAGTATTACTTGGAGGTTCATGGGTAGTTATAAGTGGAGTCATAAGTCCCCTAATATAGGTTATAATATAATAGTTACCCTACTTATAACCCCACTTATAACGGGTTTATGCTTTCGAAGAAAGAGGTCAGGGCTGCGAGGCCAAGAATGTTGCCTTTTTCGTTTCTACCTTCCGAACTTCAGAGTGCAGGCTTCAGACCACGACACGGGGTTGCTCTCAAGCCATGCAGTTGATTTTCCCACGCATACGCACGCATATAAACCCTAAACCCTAACCCGAACCTTCATGGCCCGATACTCGTTGTCACACGTGCCGTCCACGCTGTCGGACTCTGTCGTCTTTGTCGGATCTGGCTTTTTCAGGGGTGTTACGTTTGGGGACTTTGGGTTTGTGTTTGGAAAATAACGTGGTACATATAGTGACACAGTGACCGAGGGTGGAGGTCGCCGCAATAAAGTGTAATTAACCCGCTTCTTCCACCTTTCACCTGCGAGCAACCTCCATACTTGCGGGGATGATCTTAAGACAAGGCTTAGTTAGCAAATGCTAGAAGGTCTCACGCAGATTTGAGAATACTGACACTACTTGGCATCATAGAACGAGACTCGTGCGGTGCAGTCGTTAGAATCTTACAACCAGCGAACACTGGCAGTGCAGGCACACCTTCGGAAACAAGTCAACAAGTCTACCACCGAGAGCTCCTTTAAGGGCTGCTTGAAACCCTAACCCCTAAACCTCAAACCTTAGACCCTAAACCCTAGACATTGAACCCTAAACCCTAAACCTTAAACCCTTAACCCTTTTTACCTTTAAGGGTTCCTGTAAAGGTGCAGAGCTACCGGACCGGCGAGGGAAGCTGTGAGCTAGACGTGAAGCCCGGAGCCAACGTGCGGTTCCCCGAAGGGGTTTTTGGGTTTAGGGGGTCTTGAAGTGCCTACTTTGGGTTGCTTTAAGGGTTCCTTTAAGGGTTTAGGGTTTAGGGTTCCGTCATAGGGGTTTAGGATTTAGGTTTTCCTTAAGGGTTCCTAAGTAGCTACATAGTAGAATGTCGGGTTTCTTATGTTGGGAATGACCCTAAACCCTAAACCCTAAACCCTAAACCCTAAACCCTAAACCCTAAACCGTATCGTTCACAATTCCAGACCGTCTGACCCAGGGGCTTCAGCAGGTCTGACGGCGGGTTTAGGGTTTAGGGGTTTCAGGTTTAGGGTTTAGGGTTTAGGGTTTAGGGGTTTCAGGTGGGTAGTTACCGTTATAGGAGCCTTATGTAAGCCTTATAGAACCCCTTTTTACCCTACACTCCCCACCTGTAGTTTGCTTTAATTGAGGGTTTAGAGGTTCAGGGTTTAAGGATTTAGAGGTTTAGGGGTTTAGTAATCGTGCTCGGCCACGGGTTGAGAGTGCAGAAGTTCGTGGCGGGGAGGAAGTTTATCCTGCAGCGAGGCTTTGAGGTTCTTGAACACTTCAGTTTTGCTCTGATTATGACGATGGCTTGAGTGGTGATGCGTCATCGGTGATGGCAATGATGATGGCTGATGGTTTGATCACAGTGAGGATAGAGCATGACATAGCTCAAGCTGAAGATTAGTATGAGGAACAAGAGAGGGAGTGCTCTAAGTCTCTAAGGTCATGGTCACACTCAGGCCGTTGTAAGCACCGCGGCGGCGTCATGCATGAAGCGTGACAGCTGTTGCTCTCTTCACTGCACACTATTGGTTTGCATTTCCAGCAGCTGATACTTAGTGCTGCCCGTAGTAGCTTCTTTTAACAGCACCTCTGTCGATTTGTGTCGCGAGTTGTTTTTTTTTTACATTCTATGTCAAGTAGTTGTATCACACGGGCAGCAGGGTGTAGTCTGTTCGCCTGATCCGAGGGGAACCTTAAGAGAGTGGTGAGCATGTTACAACAAGCCTTCCCCCCTGACGTGCACCCGAAGCCTCAAGTCGTCTATACTCATAATCATAATCATAACCATCATCGTATTGTTAATAATAATTGTAATAACAATGATAATAATGATCGTAATGACCCTTATAGGATCCGTGAAAGGGATCCGTGCACAAGCCTCTCTAGTCGACCCTGTGTTGCCATCAGTCGACTTTGGATTGCTTTCGGGACATTCCCAGGGAAAAGGCGGGACCCTCTAGGATTTTGGAATTATTCTTACTATCATTATTAAGTTATTATTAGTACTGCGATTATGAGTATGAGGTTACTATCATGAGAAATATGCTCACTCCTGAGACTCAAGCTAGGTGGACAACGTGTTTCGCCTGCTGGATGGCACCGAGGTGCGTGACTATCACAGTAGATGCCGATTTCGATGGCCGCCTGATATTCCTCCGACCTCACCAGACACCAATTTTGGATCGTGCCCTATGGGGTCATGTTTTACTGAGTGGGATTGCGGGATTGAGGGACTTCGGCTTCATAGGCGCAAGGCTTCGGATTCTTACGTCTGCAGCAACCGGGGTCATATGCATTCGGTAGCTTTCTGGCAGTGACATACCCGGAAAAGCGAACGCTGAACTGCCCCAAGCCCTACCCTAAACACTGAGCCCTGGACTTGGAACTCCCGTGAGCCCGGACAGTAGCAGAGTTGGCTGGAGGCGGCCAAAAGCAATCACGGTTAGGGTTCAGGGTTTAGGGTTAGGCTTCCCATGTTGGTGCTTAAATCCCAAACCCTAATGCTTTAGCCTTTAGGACGCAAAACCTGCATTTAAGGGTTTAGGCCTTCAGGTGAGGTGAAGTTGAAGTGAAGGCACCTTAACCTAAATCCTAAACAACCTTGACCTTTGAGTTCGGTTGAAAGTGATCGGGATTCGGAGATCTTCACAGCATGTAGTTATCCAAGTTTCGAGGTTTAGGGGCTCCGGGTTTGTGCAGGTTCTTATCTGATCCGTTTCTCCGGGCAGGCAGTGCGGCTACTAGGGTGCCCTTGGTGTTTGTTTGTTAAGTGTGACTTTCAACATTGCCTAATTAGGTAGAAAATTGTGGCGACAGCAGTCGGGTGTTGCCATTCCCACTTGTTGACGTCCCTTCTTCATTGTTCTGCTGGAGTTTTGAGATCTCGTCGTCTCTAAGGATGCAGGCATCGCCTCATGTGGTTGAACAGGTGGTTCGAGTTCAGATGTCAAGTCTTGGGGCTCGGGGCTCTGGGAGCCTATCTCGGCCGTAGTAGTAGTCGTAGTAGTAG